GAAATAACTTTAGCTGTAAGTGCAGATTCGCAGTTGGAGGCCAAATTTCTTCCTGCTATAGTAAAGCTCAGCTTGTTTATTGAAAAAAGTAAGTCACAGTCAAAATTTTTACTGGTGTACTTCCAGGAAGTTCCTTATGTTAAGAAACTTGATTCTGGACTTCATCCAGGATGCACAGTTTCCATCAAAGGAGAAGTGGAAAAATACCCAGAGAGGTGAGTGTTATGGAACTTTTCTGCTATTCAACTGAACTGCTCTTGAGAATGAGTAGGCTTTTCTGTTGCCTAAGTATATCCTTACTTGCAACGTTGCATGTGGAATCATAAACTACAGTGCAGTTTTCTCAGGAACCTGCGGGATACTGCTTTAGAGAGGACGTAAAGCTACATTGTGAAAAGTGAAGGTAAAAACTGAGCGTCTTACCTACTAAATCTGCATCGTTCACAAAATTGTGTGTCTGTTCGGGGTTTCCACTGTGCAAGGCATGTGAGCACACGTACCATACAAAGACAGCTTTTACTCTAAAAAGAGTAAGGGAACCGGCAGAAATAGATGGAAAATTAGTGAGTTAGATGAGTTGCTGGTGTGCTCAAGTGCTGCCTGTTAGAAAGTTTCTCTGACTACTTCTCGGATGGCCTCCTTGGGGATTGTAGAAGCCTGAAGGTGCCTAACTGACGATGGCTGAGTGATGAAAGCTGGTAGGGAGAGTACGAGCTATAATTTTGATAGCAAATTAGGAACAATGGGTTGCAAAGAAGACATTTTCCCCCAGCGATTTGCAGCGGGGCAGGGGGAGCGCAATACAGTCGAACTGGAGCTGAGGAAACATTTATGCTTCAGCACACCCTTTGCTTGAAGGGTGAGTTTGGCTCTGCAGAAACATGCCTAAAAATGAAGCAATTACTGCAAATGATAAGCGTGCTTTTTACACTGTGGTATGCATTGCACTCCTACTTTCTCAGAGCATGTATCTTCTCTGCAGCTGAACAGCACTCAGAGTTCGTATTAATACTGGAACCCAAGGTCTAGAAATCTCACCAACAAACTTTGAATGGACTTTAAATTGTTAAGATAATTACTGCTTAGGTAGTAGTGTTTGTTTTCCTTCTTTTGGCTTGAAAAGCTTATTAGCAGACTTCAAGTGCTGAATGTACTGCTTGTAAGTGTGCAGAGGCTTTTGGGTGTTAGTTAAAGCATTGCAGGTTGTCTGCTCTTTGTGTTTGTGCTTTTAAACATACAGATTTTTGTAGTTCACTCAATTCACGCAGTTGTAGATAATCCTTTTTCTCGGTGAAAAAAAGGACTTCAGAGCTTGGAAGTGTGGCTGTTGCTGTATTCCATAGGCAATTCTGGGCTTCTCAAAGGAAGGAAACAACCTGACAGCTGGAGCTAATTTGGGGGGAGGAATATTTCTTCTTCAAATGCAGTGAGGTCTTTGCCACAGGTGGAATAATTCTTTTGAATTCGGATGACTCTTCCTCCTGATCACCCTTCTCCAAAGCTCCCCTTTAGGAACCCTGTGTTGCTGACATGTCTGCCATTGCAGAGTATTCATTCAGCCTGGGCAGAACTACACTGACTACAAAGTAACACTTCTTATGGATGGTGTCCCACCAATCCCAAGCCTGCAGAGAAAATCCTCGAACTTTAATTCATTAGAGTCTAACCAATTTGCTGGCAGAAAGAATATAATGTCCTTAGGTAAAACAAAGCCTCCCACTCTCCACTGCCCGAGTTAAGAGAAAGAGATGGTGGAGCCAGTAGCACCGTATGTTTCTGTGAGAGCGCTGCTTCCCAGTATAATGCCTCCTTGCTGAGACATGAACAGAAAGCTGTGAGATCTGGCAGGGTCATGTCCTACGTTTGCTGCCTTCACAAAGGTTTCTGTGCGACGGGGACAGTTGTGTGTTAACTGCCTGCTGGATTCTTCAGGTCAATCACAGCCTTGGCTCCAGAACCGTTCTGGGTATTGGCTAAGGGCTTGATAAATAGCATGGACTACTGTGTCGTGTTTATAAACGCTTGGTATGGTAAACTTGTAAAAAATATCTTCCAGCTTTGCAATAAATCTGAAAACAAGTGACTCAGAGGACATTGCACTACATCTGAATCCCCGAATGAAAAATAAAGTTTTTGTAAGAAACTCGTACCTTCATGACAGCTGGGGAGAAGAAGAAAAGGAAGTCGCCCATTTCCCTTTCAGCCCAGGGATGTACTTTGAGGTAAGATTAACTGAAACATAGCATCAAACTGGTAATTCTGCCAAAAGGATAAGCAGTGGTGCTTAGATGTCATGTCACTAATACAGATTTAAATAAACCCGCCATTCCTGCATTTCCGCGTCTTAAGAATATTTAGGATTAAACGTGACCATAGGGAGCAGAGATTTGACTTGGTTTTAATGACAGTTTTCTTTTTAAATAGTTGCAAGAATTCAGCCTGTGCTCAGAACAAATTTTATTTGAATTGAGTTGGTCTCGAGGATCCAACTTGAGTTATTACACGATTTATGAATTTTATTGAAGTTCCATTTTTTTAAGTGTCTCTTTTGCATGAAACATTCTTTGTAACAGAAGCAGGACTTGCCCAAGTCTAGGATAGATTATCAGGTTGTTTTTCATGTCTTACCTGGGCTTAAATGTTAACTGTTTCTCTTCTTGTTTTTCAGCTGATCATTTTTTGTGAGGCCCACCAGTTCAAAGTTGCTGTTAATGGTGTTCACACTCTGGAGTACAAGCATCGTTTCAAACAACTTGAAAAGATCGATGTAGTGGGAATCACAGGAGATGTTAAATTGTTTGATGTGAGGAGCTGGTCGTTCTTTTCAACCAGTACTAAAGAATCAAACCTCTTCTAATGACAGTGCCTCCTTGTCAAGTACAAACAGGTGCTGACTCATGCTGAGCCTGCCTTCATCTATCTAGGCTTCTGCATCTGCCTCTCTGAGTTAGGTGAGTACCAGAACTACTAACTGCGAGATTAAATCCTCCTCTAGTTTACAGTATCTTGGCAAGCTAAGTGAGTGTTTGCTCAGATAAATCTCCTGTATAACTGAACCTAGCAATATGAAAATACTGCATCATACTGCGCCTAACAATTGCACTCAGTATATTTAAGTTAAACTACTACTCGGCATTTCTTGATAGCATACATTCAATATTGTGAAGTGGAAACGAGACTGAAATAGGATCTGAAGATATGGTTATCCACCCCTAAAAGGGACACTGATAATTCATTTGAAATAGAATTATGAGATACTTTTCTGCTTCTTAATATATATTGGCAACTATAACCTTTTTACAGAGGCTGGATTAAGCAAACAGTTGACTCATGAGTTCTAGCAAAAGGCAAGGAGGAATTGGATCTTGATTCTTAGCCTGCTGCTGCGGTAGTACTTTCTCAGGCAGTCATGGCTATGTCACTTCCTTCTTATAAGTGGCTTAAATCAAACATAAAGAGCGTTTGCAGCTTTTAGTTTTCCAAAGTGAAACAAATGAAAGTGATTTTGCCGGTTCCAGTTGTGTGAACTTTTGAAAGCTTTTTTGATCTGAAATGGCTCCTAACTAACCGAGTTGAGATTGCTCAGGGACTGAAAGTAGATGCTTATGTTTTTCATTTTTAAAAAATGTGCGAACCCAGGTACTGCAGGTAGGGCTTCAGCTGAGATAAGACTTGGATACTCATCCGTGGAACAGAGAATGGATCCTTTTTCAGTCTTGTGTTAAAATACTATCTGTCTGAAACAAGCTGTTCCTATTCAGTTTTCTGTACAGATGTCAGTGTTAATTTTTATACTCTTTTTAAAAATAAGTTGCTACTGACTGTCAGTACATGCCTGAAGAACATTCCTATTTATCTTAACAGCTGCTAAAAGAGTGAAGCAATTTCAAGAATAAGATGTACCCTAAAAGACTTTATGATAAATTACCAGATTTAATGTATAAAAAGCATAAATAAAAACATTTGTGAACTCTGCTTTTCTCCAAGTGTCACTAAGTAGCCATGACCCCTTTTTGGTCTGCATTTTGTCTTGTTTCGCTTACTATCTTACCACTATCTCCAGGGTGGCATAGTGATCCTGACTGGAGGACTATTTCCACATTGAGGAGTTAGCAATCCACAGACCGGTTAACCTGAGCAGGCCTCAGCTGTGCTGGTGTGGCCTTCAGGACAGAGTTGTGCTGTACATATCCCTTGGCCACAGGATAAATGGAGCTGGCTTATTGCAACAGAGGAGCTGGTAAGCAGCTCCCACTCTCTAATGGCAATTACACCACTTGTGCGTCCTTGTCTTTTAGCAGGACGTTCTTATGTGAACATCCGTTTTGTTTGCCAGCAGACATGATTAATAGTTGTTTCCTTTTAAGAAAAGCCTGTAAGAGCATGAATAACCATGACAGGGTAACCTTTCCACAGACGGGATCTGCATGGTGTGCTCTGCCCTGAACACAGAAGCCCATTCCCAGCACCCGACAGGATGTAAGATTATCCTCTTTATAGTGTTAATTCTAACCAGTTGCATTTTAAACCACACTTTACAGAGTCCTAGTGCCTTTCTTACTAGTAGTGTAATGAACCAGCACCTCCTGGTGCAAAATGGGTTGTGAGTTTTTTTGGTAAATTCATTAACATAGCAAGCAATTTATTCTTTATCTTCAGCTGAATAAGCAGCTAATCAGTAGCAGTCTTTAAAGACTAAGAAAACAGCTTTAGCTCCTCCATGAATCCTAGTATCTTGTAACTTCCTTTTCAGTATCTTCAGTGGGTTCATTTTTTACTTCCCTGAATAAGACAGAAAAATAAATTCTCAGGATTGCAGTGCATGGGTCCATGGAAAAGTCCCCAGACTATCCAGAAATGACAAAGTCAGATTCTTAAAATATTTTATTAAAAAGTTAAGATCTTGGCTCTGATAAAAATTAGAATACAGTTTGCCCATAGCACTCGCATGTGTGAAGCTAACATGATTCAGACAAAATTTGAAAACAAAGGGGATAAACTTAGAAGTAGCTTTGGAGTGGTTCTCCTAAAATGACCTCCAGTTGTTGAATTGTCTTCTGACACTGCTGTTCAACTTCTTCACATTCATCTGGAAAAAGAAATAAAGCAGGACTTGAGTAGAATAGTGATTATAAAGCTACCCTAGGAAGGCTTCATCACTCATCAAGGCTAGAACTGTCTTCAAAGACACAGTAAAATGTTTTGATATGGACTCGGGCAAATTACTTTTACTGTAACACTGATCGAAAACATGCAACTGGGGAGTTGTGCGCAGGCTCTTATGCTGAAGAAACAACTGTAATTTAACTGAACTTTGGGAGTGTGTTGGATACAATCCATTTCAGTTTGTGTCCTGCCCAGTTTATGCTACTGTATACCAATTCATAAGATTTACAGCAATTATAGCAATCATCTTGTTTGAATCTTTGAAATAAGTGGCCCTGTGACCTTTTTTGGTCACAGGCCAGTTGTCTGCCTTCACTAAAGCCAGTTTAGAACATTACCTTCCATGAGCTCAGCTAAGAATGGGATAGATTCTGGTAGAAGGACCAGGTAGTTCTCCTTCAGTTTTTGTGCAACTTCTACCAAAGCAAGCAGAGCAGCAAATCGGACCTAAAACAAAACAATAATCTTTGTAAGGAAACAATTATAGTTCTGTTTTCTCCCCTCGCACCCCTCCCCACCCCTTCCTTCCACACACATTTGTAAACTAGCTAACTAGCTTTCCTTACTGAAGGGAACTAGTTTTAAGCTAATTTAAATATCAACATCTGGATTAAGATAATGTCAAAGGAAAAGTAGGTTGCAAGAAGCAGATATGTGGCTGGATGGTCTTTCAGCTTCCTGGTACGATGCTGCTCTGTTCCACTGTATCAGAAAGACTTAGCTCAGTACAATGACAAACCAAGTACCCCCCTGAATACATACAACCTGTCAAATAGGAGGGTCTTGATAAAACTCTATATAATAAACAGGTCTGAAGATTGGTAACTAACTTGTCTTCCAGTTCCCCCTCTGAAGTGCCCCTTTCTTCATACACAAACAGGTTAGCTTTTATTCTTTAAAAAACCCAAACCACACAGTATGGAAGACATCCACACGTGCAATATTGACTGCTTACAGTAAGAGAGGAAGGCTATGTTGTATATATTTCTCTAGAACTTGGGAGTAGCATAGTACAGTATTTTAATTTAGGCAAGTATTTTAACAATGACCTGGCTAATCCACTTCTGGTTTTGGGGGCACTGTTCCCATTCTCTAATGCAACAAAGAAAACCAGTCCAAATTCTGATAGATCCCAACCTTAGAAGAGGTGTGCCTC